GTCTGGACTTCCACATGGCTAACTGCAGTTTGAGTTCCAGACCTGTTGGCTTGAAAATCATGCCAGGCCCCTGCGACCATGCCCAAAATACAAGGAGCATGATGGAGAAGGGATTGCAGCCATGGCCATGCCCTTTGAGGGGCAATTTCTCACTTTCCCTCTCAGTGTCTCTCTCCAGAGAGACAAATGACAAAAACCTTTTAAAAACATTTTTTTTAAAGTGGTCACTTTTTAAAGACAGGATTTCCTTCTAGCTCTGGGGGCAGGGCAGGATATTGGTTGTGGCAAGAGTATCCAAATCGCCAGTACTCCTTGTTCTAATTCTGTGTCCTCCAAGGAAATACAGTTCTATAACTCTCTTTTTAATGAATTATTTTATTTAACTTATTATTATTTCCCAGTTTAATCAGAGAGATGCAGGGAGGGGAGTGAGAAAGCAAGCCACCAGGTTTGGGACTTGAACTGTGGTTGGCCACGTGGGAATCCAGAGCCTTTAACCACTAAGCCACCTGCCAGACCCTTTATATAACTCTTAAGAGTTTTTAATTATTTATCTTATTATTTTGTAAGTTTGCCATAGGACACATATACTCACCAGAGAGTGACAGAGAGAGAAAGAGAGGGAAAGTGAGAAAGCAAGCTGCCAGGTCCAGGACTCGAACTATGGTGAGCCATGTGGGAGTCCAGTGCCCCTAACCACCACGCTGCCACCTACTGGCCTTGATTTATTTATTCTTAATTTGACTAGAAAGAGACAGAGAGAGAGAGGGAGGGAAAGTGAGAAAGCAAGTCATCAGGTTCAGGACTCAAACTGTGGTTAGCCATGTGGGAGTCTTGCACCTTGACCACCATGCCACCTACTGGACCCCACATTTTTTTTTTAACTCTTAAGACTTTTAAAAGCCAGGACCATGGCTGGATCCTCTTTACACTTCTCCACTAGCCAAAACATATTCAAAAAGCACAGGAAAGGATGAGAACAGATGGACCACTAATTTATTGAATCACCTATCAGATCAGAAGCACATGACAGACCTTGTACAAATTCAGGACTCCTTTTTTTTAAATTAATTTAATTTTTAAAATTTATTTTAATTTGACCAGAGAGATAAAGAATGAGAGTGGGAACCAGCAGTTAGTATGGACTCCCACGTAGTCGACCGCAGTTCGCGTCCTGGACCTGGTGGCTTAAAACTCACGCCAGGCGTGTGTGCGTGTGTGCCCAAGATCCCAAGAGGAGAATAGAGGAGAAGGGATTGCGGCGTGACCATCCCCCCTGGGGGGTGATTTCTCGCTGTCTACATACATCCATCCATTTTTTAAAATATTTATTTACTTATTTATTTATTTTTATTTATTTTAATTTGCTGTAGGGTTTGTGCACTCACCGAAAGGGAGAGAGAGTGAGAGAAACGGAAAGTGAGAAAGCAAGCCACCAGGTCCAGGACTTGAACTGTGGTTGGCCATGTGGGAGTCCAGCACCCTTAGCCACCAGGTCACCTGCTGGCCCCACAATTCAGGACTCTTAAGGTTTAGAACCCAATTTCAGGGACCAGCAGGTGGTGTGGTGGTTAAGGCACTGGACACTCAGACATACCCAACCATGGTTCGAGTCCCACACCTGGTGGCTTACTTTCTCACTTTCCCTCTTTCTCTCATTCTCTCATTCTCTTCTGTCTGTCTCTCTCTGGTCAAATTAAAATAAAATTCTTTAAAATGAATAAATAGGGACCAGCAGTTGGTGTAATGGCTTTGTGGCTGGACTCCCATGTAGTTGACCACGGTCTGAGTCCCGGACCTGGTGGCTTAAACTCACACCAGGTGCATATGCATGCGTGCCCAAGATCCCAAAAGGAGGG